GCTCTTAGGCAGAAGCTCTTCCCTGGGAGGGTGCTGAGGCGCTGGCACAGGGTGCCCAGAGAAGCTGTGGCTGCCCCATCCCTGGCAGTGCTCAAGGCCAGGTTGGACACAGGGGCTTGGAGCAAGCTGCTCTATGGAAGTGGTCCCTGCCCGTGGCAGCGGTGGGAGCTGGATGGGCTTTAAGGCCCCTTCATCCCCCCCATCCCGTGCTCTCCCCCACAGAAACAAGCCAAGCCCGAGGAACCGGACGGCTCTGACGTCTCCTTCTGCAGCCTCCCCGGGGCTCAGCCCAGCGCTGCCCCGGCCCGGAGCCGCCTGCGCTCGGGCTCCTCGCGCTCCCTCGCCAGTTTCCCGTCCCAGGAGTCCCTGCTCCCGCCGGACGCCTCCTCCCCGCAGGACCCCCCTGCCCACGCCGCGCTCCTGGGGCTCCCCGGGTACCGCCCGGTCACGCGCAGCTCCCTGCGCCGCATGCAGGGGGGCAGCAGCTCCAGCCTCGGTGCGTGGCTGTGGGGTGGGAGGGGGGAGCTCTGCCTTCGCTTGGGGTGCCTGGACCCCCCCCTTGACCCTGCCTTGCTCCGCGTTCAGGCCGCGGCAGCCTCTACCTTGGCACGTGCCAGGATGAGCCCGAGCAGCTGGAAGACTGGAACCGCATCGCGGAGCTGCAGCAGCGCAACCGCGCCTGCCCGCCCCACCTCAAGACCTGCTACCCCCTGGAGAGCAGGGTACGGCGCTCGGCGGGGTGGGGGGCAGCCATGGGGCGGGGGGGGCCTTGGTAACACCTTCCTTGTGTCGTGTCCCCCCCCCCCCAGTCCTCCAACTCGCTGGCGACCATCACGGACGAGGAGATGAAGACGGGGGACCCGCGGGAGACGCTGCGCCGCGCCAGCATGCAGCCCCCACAGGGCCCCCCCGCCCCGCGCAGCAGCCTCAGCGCGGCCTGGCCCGGCATCACCACCCGCCAGCAGCGCAAGAGGGCCTCCGATGAGTCCCACCAGGGCCCAGACACCCCCGAGGTGAGCACAGGGGGGTCAGGGGAGAACACAGGGCATAGAGCGTGAAACAGAACATAGGGCATAGAGCGTGAAACAGAACATAGGGCATAGAGCATGAAACATAGAACATAGAGCATAGAGCATGGAACAGAACACAGGGCATAGAGCATGGAACAGAACATAGAGCATAGAGCGTGGAACAGAACATAGAGCATAGAGCGTGGAACAGAACATAGGGCATAGAGCGTGGAACAGAACATAGGGCATAGAGCATGAAACATAGAACATAGAGCATAGAGCGTGAAACAGAACACAGAGCATGAAACATAGAACATAGAGCATGAAACAGAACACAGAGCATGGAACAGAACATAGGGCATAGAGCGTGAAACAGAACATAGGGCATAGAGCATGAAACAGAACACAGAGCATGAAACAGAACACAGGGCATAGAGTGTGGAACAGAACACAGCATAGAGCATGAAACATAAGAGCTATAGAGCTGTATAACGTAGAGCATAGAACATGAAACAGGGCACAGAATACGAAACATAGAACATGAAACATAGAACATGGAGCCATAGAACATTGAGACAGAACATGAAACATAGAACATGGAGCCATAGAACATTGAGACAGAACATGAAACATAGAACATAGAGCATGGAACATGAAACATGGAACCAAAGAACATGAACCATAGAGCATAGAGTGTGAAACATAGAGCGTAGAACATGGAACGTAAGAGCCATAGAACACAGAAGCCAGGCGGGTGGGGAAGGGCCTTTGAGATCACGCAGTGCAACCACTCCCCAGCACTGCCAAGGCCACCACTGACCCATGGCCCTGAGGGCTTTGGCTGCCCGGGTTGAGAACCTACAGAGCTCCCATGCTGGATGCTGGGAGAGGGGCTTGGGCCAAGGGCCTGTAGGGCCAGGCCAAGGGGAATGGCTTGAACCTGCCCGAGGGGAGACTGAGCTGAGCTCTTAGGCAGAAGCTCTTCCCTGGGAGGGTGCTGAGGCGCTGGCACAGGGTGCCCAGAGAAGCTGTGGCTGCCCCATCCCTGGCAGTGCTCAAGGCCAGGTTGGACACAGGGGCTTGGAGCAAGCTGCTCTATGGAAGGGGTCCCTGCCCGGGGCAGGGGTCGGGGCTGGATGGGCTCTAAGCTCCCTTCATCCCGCACCGCTCCGGGGTTCTCGGTGTCCCCAGGATGTCCCTGGACGGGCTCAGGCGCAGGGAACGGTGCTGGAATCCCTGGGCAGGAGCCAGCTCCGGGCTCTGCTCCCTCTCCCGGTGCCATCCCCTTTCCCTGCTCCCACAGTCCAAGAAGCCCACCACGTGCTTCCCAAGGGCCCAGACCCCGCAGCGCCGCAGCGCCCAGCTCCGCCGCAGCGCCCAGCCCGCGCCCCCCAAGCCGGTGAGAGCAGCACCAGCAGCAGGGCTGGGGGGGGGTGTGAGCCCCCCATACCCCCCCTCACTGTGCCCCCTCCGCAGGCCGAGAGGCGCCAGTCCCTGGCCTTCAGCATCCTCAACACCCCCAAGAAGCTGGGGAGCAGCCTCCTGCGCCGCGCCGCCGCCCGCAAAGCCACCCCCAAGGGCTCCCCCCGCGCCGGCGCCCGCCGCTCGCCCCGCATCGCCACCGCCAAGTCCCCCAAGGGCAAGGTAAGGACCTGACCCCCCCCAGCCCTGCCCCGGGGGCTGCTCCCCGTCACCAATGCCCCCCCCTTGCTCTCTCCCTTCCAGACCAGTCGCCAACAGCTCAAGGACACCAAATTCTGAGCTTTGTCCCTGTCCCCCCCCCAGCCCGAGGCTTCAGCAGCCCCAGGGGGGTGATGGCACAACGGGGGGGGGGCACCTTCCCCTTGTCCCATCGCCCCCCTGCTCCTCCCTGCACCCAGCTCTGCCTGCCCCCCCCAGGCAGGACCCCCCCTGCCCCCTCAGGACCCCCCCAGCCTTTGGGGCACCCTGAGGCGGGGGGGAAGGGGCATTTTTAAGGTATTTCTACTTGTAAATAAATTGTATTTTTCTCCTGCAGCGCTTGGGGGGGGGCTGGGTTCCTGCCCGGGCCCTGCCTTGGGGTCCAGGGGGGCCTAGGGACCCCAACGGGGGTTCTCCATCCTCCTCTTCCCCAGTGCCACCACTCGCCCAGGGAGCAGCCACAATCCACTTCCCTCTCTCCTTTATTCTTCTCCACTTAAAACCCCCCAAGCCTTGGGGTGCTCCCCCCACAGCAGCCTCCAGAGCACTGTATGGGGGTGCCGAGCTCCTTCCCTGCCCCACATCCTGCCCGTGCTGCTCTCAGCACCCAGCAGCCCCAGCCCCCGGGTGCCCCCCATCCTCACAGCCCCCCGTGGCTGGGTGCTGAGGCCATGCTGCCCCCCGGTGCTGTGGGCTCCCCGCAGGTGCTGGCGTGGTGCTGCAGCTCCGCTGCGCTGCAGGGCCGGGCACAGATGGGGCAGGGCACCCAGGGGGGCTCCAGGGGAGGGGGGGCTCCATCAGCGTCCTCCCCACAGCCCGAGGCGTGCGTGGGGAGCAGCTCCAGGCTGAAGCGCGCTGTGGGCACAGGAGGGGACGGTGTTGGACCAGGGACCCCCAGTGGGGCCTGGGCTGTGCCTCCAGCCCCACGGCCGTGCTCCCACCACCATGGGCACGCAGACACTGCTGAGCCCCTTCAGCGGCTCCCATTCCCTGCCCCACATCTCTGCTCATGCAGAGGCAGGTGCAGGCCTGAGGCCGCCCCTGCTGGGCACCCACCGGAGCAGATGGGGCAGATGCCCGTCTCCCTGTCCCCTTTGCTGTCCCCTCTGCTGCTGGGTCCTGCTCGCTGCCTGCGGGCTCGGGGCCGTGCTCCTGCCCTAGAGGGGCCTGGCAGGGACCTGCAGGAACAGGGGGAAGCTCAGAGATTGTTCCCCAGGTCCTGGGGAGCAGGGAACCAGCCCCAGCCAAGGCTGGGGTCCAGGACCAGGGTGAGGAGGTGGCTGGGAAGGACATGGAGCACGGAATGAGGGGGAGGATGAAGGGGTCACCTGCTGGGGGCTCCCTGCCTGCTGTCCCGGGGGGCTCTCGTGGGGACTCCTTGTGCAGAGCCTGGGAACGGGATGGAGACGCGTTAATCCCATCCTGAATCCAATGGAGCCACATCTGGACCCCCACCAGTGGGGTTCATGGGCAGGAAGCCACCCATGGGATGTAACTGATGGTCCCTGATGGATCCCTGTGCTGGAGCATCCCCATGGAGCAGCACCGTGCTGGAGCCCCACACACGGACCCACAGGAGGCTTGGGGCGAGCCAGGGATGCACCAGCAGGAGGGTGAGGTGCCCAGAGCCAGACCAGTGCACCCCTGTGGGCATGGGGAGCACCCGGGCCCCCCGTGGCCTTGTCCCATGGGATCCCTCCAGCCACAGGCAGAGCCCTCAGGGGACAGGATCCCTTTGGGAGGGTGAAGAGCAGGGATGGGATCCGGAGGGACCTGGCGAGCCCTCACCGGGTGCTGGGCTTCCTCCTGCATCCCGACCCCGCAGCTCCGGGCGCCCCTGCGCTGCCCCCAGCTCACCGGGTTCTGGGCTTCCTCCTGCATCCCGATCCCGCAGCTCCGGGCCCCCCCTGCTGCTGGCTCTGGACCTCAGCGCCCGGCTCCGCGCCGCCGACAGCAGCATCCGCGCGGGGCGGCTGAGGCAGGAGGGCTCCAGCGGGGCCAGGAGCCTCTTCAGCCTCAGCTCCTCCTCCTCCTCCTCCCTGTGGCTCCTGGGCAGGAGGAGAGCAGGGGCTGGGAGGCAGCACCTCGGGGTGCGCAGGGAGAGGATGGGGTGGACCCGACCAGGGAGATCCCCAGGTCCTTTCCCACCCAACCCTTTCCATGGCTGCACTTACGAGGGGGGTGCTGGAAGGGGGGCCCGGGACAAGGCAGGGCTGGGGCTCCAGGCGCTGTCCGTGGGCTTGGAGCCCTCCTGGGGGACGAGGGACTGATGCAGGGAGCGGGGATGGGGGCTGCAGCAGGGGAGCAGGAGCCGAGCCCATCACCGCTGCCCCAGGGCAGGGCTGGGGCACCCACCGGGTGCGGAGGGTCCAGGGCCGTGCGCACGCGGATGAAGGAGAGCCCGAACTGGCTGTGCCGGCCGAAGGGCTGGCGGAGCGTGAGGCGCAGCCGGTCCCATGTCTGCCCCAGCGCCGGCTCCAGGAAGTCGGCTGCAGGGGTGGGATGGGATGGGATGGGATGGGGGAATGGAACAGGATGGGGGAATGGAATGGGATGGGATGGGGGAACAGGATGGGATGGGATGGGATGGGGCAATGGGATGGGATGGGGGAACGGGATGGGGTGGGAGGGGGGAATGGGATGGGGGAACGGGATGGGATGGGATGGGATGGGAGGGGGGAATGGGATGGGGGAACGGGATGTGATGGGATGGGAGGGGAGGGGGGAATGGGATGGGGAAACGGGATGGGGGAACCAGATGGGGGAATGGGATGGGATGGGACAGGGGAGTGGGATTGGATGGGGGAACGGGACGGGATGGGGGAACGGGATAGGATGAGATGGGGGGATGGAACGGGACAGGATGGGGGAATGGGATGGGAGGGGGAAATGGGATGGGGTGGGGGAATGGGATGGGATGGGATGGGGGAATAGGACGGGAGGGAATGGGGCAACGGGATGGGATAGGGAAATGGAATGGGACAGGAGGGGATGGGGGAATGGGATGGGATGGGATAGGGGAATGGGATAGGAGGATGGGGGAATGGGACGGGACGGGGGAATGGGACACCCCGTGTCACCAACCCCCATCCAGGACCCGGTGACACCGGGCAGGTTCCAGCCCCAGGAGGCTGGGGCAGAGCTGGCAGAGCCCCCGTGAGGCAGCGCAGCCCCAAACTCTGTTCCCATCCCCTCTGCTCTGCCCTGCGGACCGGGCGTTACCTTCCTTGAACATCCGCACCCCGCAGCGGTTCTGCTCCAGCCTGGCCTCGGCCTCGCTCCTCAGCGCCGCGCTGGGCACCAGGGCCAGGTAGGGCCGGTCCCGCGGCCACCACGAGCGCCCCACGTCGAGCTGCAGGAAGGCGCAGCCGCAGTTCCCTGCGGTGACAGCGGCATGAGGCAGGGTCCGAGCCCCGGTCCGGCCCCGGGGCCCCGGGAACGCACCGACATCCACGTAGCCGATGGCAACGGCGCGCTCCAGCTGCAGCTCCGCGCGCAGCTGCCGGCTCCGGTCCTGCGGGCTGCACAGCCAGGGCCGGCGGGCGTCCGCGCGGAGCAGGTTCTGCACCGGGAACCGGGGGTCCTGCGGGGGGGCAGAGCTCAGGTCCCAACGGGAGAGGAGGAATCGGGTGTGATCCCTGCCCCGCTGTGATCCCTGCCCTGATCCCTGCCCCGCTGTGATCCCTGCCCTGATCCCTGCCCTGATCCCTGCTGTGATCCCTGCCCTGCTGTGATCCCTGCCCTGATCCCTGCCCTGCTGTGATCCCTGCTGTGATCCCCGCTGTGATCCCTGCCCTGCTGTGATCCCTGCTGTGATCCCTGCTGTGATCCCTGCCCCTGCTGTGATCCCTGCTGTGATCCCAGCTGTGATCCCTGCCCTGCTGTGATCCCTGCCCTGATCCCTGCCCCGCTGTGATCCCTGCTGTGATCCCTGCTGTGATCCCTGCCCTGCTGTGATCCCTGCTGTGATCCCTGCTGTGATCCCTGCTGTGATCCCTGCTGTGATCCCTGCTGGGATCCTTGCCATGCAGAACCATGGAATGGCTTGGGATGAAGGGAGCTTAAAGCCCGTCCAGCTCCACCCCCTGCCAGGGGCAGGGACCCCTTCCATAGAGCAGCTTGCTCCAAGCCCCTGTGTCCAAGCTGGCCTGCAGCACTCCGGGATGGGATGAGCCCAGCACACGCTGTGGATCATCGGGAGCTCCTCGCTGCTGCTCCCACCGTTCCATGTGGAATTCCCAGCACATCCCACACCAGATCCCTCCACCTTCAGGACCCCCAGCAGCAGCTCAGGGCAATTGAGGCCTTTCCCAGCCTCCCCCCATAGGAAACCCCTGGGACCTGTGAGGAGAAGGACACCACGAAGCTGATTTTGACTGGAGCCATCCGGGATCTCCTGGAGCTTCCTTCCCTCCGAGGCTGGGGGGTTCAGGGCAGGGCTGTGGAGGTACCCAGCATTCCCAATGGGAACAGAGGTACCCAGCACACAGGTACCCAGCATTCCCAATGGGAACAGAGGTACCCAGCACACAGGTACCCAGCATTCCCAATGGGAACAGAGGTACCCAGCACACAGGTACCCAGCATTCCCAATGGGAACAGAGGTACCCAGCACACAGGTACCCAGCATTCCCAATGGGAACAGAGGTACCCAGCACACAGGTACCCAGCATTCCCAATGGGAACAGAGGTACCCAGCACACAGGTACCCAGCATTCCCATTGGGAACAGAGGTACCCAGCACACAGGTACCCAGCATTCCCAATGGGAACAGAGGTACCCAGCACACAGGTACCCAGCATTCCCATTGGGAACAGAGGTACCCAGCACAGAGGTACCCAGCATTCCCAATGGGAACAGAGGTACCCAGCACAGAGGTACCCAGCATTCCCAATGGGAACAGAGGTACCCAGCACACAGGTACCCAGCATTCCCAATGGGAACAGAGGTACCCAGCATTCCCAATGGGAACAGAGGTACCCAGCACAGAGGTACCCAGCATTCCCATTGGGAACAGAGGCACCCAGCACAGAGGTACCCAGCATTCCCAATGGGAACAGCAGGGATCCTGCCCCCCAGGGATCCCACTGGGGCTCCCCATAGCCCCCAGCCCCATCCCACTGCCCCCAGCTCCCCTCCCTCCCCCCGCATCCATTCCCCCACCCCATCAACCCCAGCCCTGCCCCACGGCCCCCCCTTTACCCCCTTAGTGCCCCCATTCAGCCCCATGCACCCCCAGCCCTGCCCCACAGATCCCCGCTCCCCTCCGTGCCCCACAGCCCCCCCCACTCCCGCCACCGCTTCAATCTCCCGCGCAAACCGCGTCACCCGCGGCGGTTCCCGCTGCGCACCGCGAGCTCCGGTCCCGATCCCGATCCCGGTCCCGATCCCAATCCCGGTCCCGATCCCGGTTCTTGTCCCTGTCCCAATCCCGATCCCGGTCCCGATCCCAATCCCGGTCCCGATCCCGGTTCTTGTCCCGGTCCCAATCCCGATCCTGATCCCAATCCCGGTCCCGGTCCCGGTTCCCGCCTCAGCCGGTGCCGGCCCTGCGCCGCGGTGCATGACGGGACACGTAGTCCTCCAGCCTGGCCCCGCTAAGGGACCGTCCCCGTGTGCGCTGGCCTCGGCCCGGCGCGGCCCGGAGCGGCACCGGGCGGTGCACGGGGATGGGAGCGGGGCCGAGGCGCGCCCCGGGGCCGCTGACACCGGCGGGGCGGGGGGCGGTGCCACCGGGACCGCGGCCGGGCCCCCGCGGCCCGCTCCGGGCCTGGAAATGCGCGACGGTCCCTTGCCGTGACAGCTCTGCCACCGCCGGCCGCTGTCCCGCCTCTCCTCCTTTCTGATTGGTCTGTGGCCCACGGCCGCGCACAGCGATTGGCCCGCGCTGCGGCGGCGTGGCCGGTGATTGGCGGATGGTGGCGGAAGGAGTTGGCCGCCGGGGACGGAGGGGGGGGGCAAGATGGCGGCGGTGCTGGAGGTGGAGGTTGGAGGCCCCGCGGAGCGCGATGTGGAGGAGGTGGAGCGGGGCCGGGAGCGGAGCGGGGCCGGGAGCGGAGCGGGGGCAAGGGGGGTCGGGGGGAGCGGGAGCGAGGGGTTCCGGGGGGCAGGGGGACACTGAGGGGGCTTTAGGGGGAGCCTGGGGCAGGGTGGGACTGGGGGCACTGAGGGGCTTCGGGGTAGGGGGACAGCGGGGTGCTCCAGGGGGCACGGGAGGGGCTGTGGGGCAGGGGGACACGGGGGGTGCCCTGGGCTGGGTGGGTAGGGGGTGCCCTGTGGGGCAGGGGGACACGGGGGGGTCTGGGTTAGGGGCTGGGTTAGGGGCTGCTCTGTGGGGCAGGGGGACACGGGGGGGGCTGGGTTAGGGGGTGCCCTGTGGGGCAGGGGGACACGGGAGGGGGCTGGGTTTGGGGGTGCCCTGTGGGGCAGAGAACACGGGTGGGCTGGGTTAGGGGGTGCTCTGTGGGGCAGGGTGACACAAGGGGGCTGGGTTAGGGGCGCTCTGTGGGGCAGGGGACACGGGGCGGGCTGGGTAGGGTGCCCTGTGGGGCAGGGGGACACGGGGCGGGCTGGGTTACGGGGTGCTCTGTGGGGCAGGGGGACGGGGGGGGGCTGGGTTAGGGGGTGCTCTGTGGGGCAGGGGGCACGGGGGGGGCGGGGTTAGGGGGTGCCCTGTGGGGCAGGGGGACACGGGGGGGCTGGGTTAGGGGGTGCCCTGTGGGGCAGAGAACACGGGTGGGCTGGGTTAGGGGGTGCCCTGTGGGGCAGGGGGACACGGGGCGGGTCTGGGTTAGGGGGTGCCCTGTGGGGCAGGGGGACACGGGGCGGGCTGGGTTAGGGGGTGCTCTGTGGGGCAGGGGGACACGTTTGGGGCTGGGTTAGGTGGAGCTCTGTCGCGCAGGGGGCACGGGGGTGAGGGGTTAGGGGGTGCTCTGTGGGGCAGGGGGCACGGGGGGCTGGGTTAGGGGGTGCCCTGTGGGGCAGGGGGACACGTTTGGGTCTGGGTTAGGGGGTGCTCTGTGGGGCAGGGGGACACGGGGGGGGCTGGGTTTGGGGGTGCCCTGTGGGGCAGGGGGACACGGGGGGGGCTGGGTTAGGGGGTGCCCTGTGGGGCAGGGGGCACGGGGGGCGGCTGGGTTAGGGGGCGCCCTGTGGGGCAGGGGGACACGAGGGGGCTGGGTTAGGGGGTACCCTGTGGGGCAGGGTGACACAAGGGGGCTGGGTTAGGGGGGGCTCTGTGGGGCAGGGTGACACAGGGGGGGTGGGTTAGGGGGGGCTCTGTGGGGCAGGGGGCACGGGGGGGGCTGGGTTAGGGGGTGCCCTGTGGGGCAGGGGGCACGGGGGGGGCTGGGGTAGGGGGTCCCCTGTGGGGCCGGGGGACACGGAGGGGTCTGGGTTAGGGGGTGCCCTGTGGGGCAGGGGGACACGGGGGGGCTGGGTTAGGGGGTGCCCTGTGGGGCAGGGGGACACGGGGCGGGCTGGGTTACGGGGTGCTCTGTGGGGCAGGGGGACGGGGGGGGGCTGGGTTAGGGGGTGCTCTGTGGGGCAGGGGGACACGGGGGGGGGCTGGGTTAGGGGGTGCCCTGTGGGGCAGGGGGCACGGGGGGGGCTGGGTTAGGGGGTGCTCTGTGGGGCGGGGGACACGGGGGGGGGGCTGGGTTAGGGGGTGCTCTGTGGGGCAGGGGGACACGGGGGGGGGGGTCTGGGTTAGGGGGCGCCCTGTGGGGCTGTGTCCTGAGCTGAGCCGTGCTCTGGGGCAGCTGAAGCTGTGCAGTGAAGGCTGCAGCTGGAATTCCCATTGGGAATGCTGGAGCATCCTCCCTGCGGGAGGGGAGCCTCGGCCCCAGCCCCAGTGCCTGAGCCTGCTGCCTGTGGTGCTGGGGGGGGTCCCAGCCGGGCTGTCTGGAATTCCAATGGGATTGTGTGGGACCGGGGCTGCGGGGAGCTGCGCCTCCTGTCAGCCTCTGACCCCCAGAGCAAGGCAAGCAGCGTGTGGGGCGCTTGCGAGCCCCACATCCCAGGGCCCGCGGCAGGGAAGGTCCGGAGCCTGGGAGCCCTGGACGTGGAATTCCTGGTGTTCAGGAGCCAGCCCCTGGGGCTGAATGGGGAGGTGACAGCCATGGGGCTGGGACCCCCCGGAACCCGCCCCCATGGGGGCACACATCCGTACCGCTGCCTTGGGCTGAGCCTGGGGGAGCTCAGGCTCCATCCGGGCTCGGGATGGGGTTGGATCCGCTGGGATCTCCCTGCTCCCGCTGCCTGTGGCCCCCTTGGTTCCTGAGCAGAGGAGCCGAGGGTCCAACCCCCCCTGAGACCCCTGCACAACGCGCTCAGGGTGAGGGGGCCCCTCTGGGGGCTGGGGCTGGGGGGCAGAGCGGCCACGGCGCTGGGTGGGATCCGAATGGGGCCGAGCTTCGGTGTCACTGCTGGAGCAGAGCTGGGGTTTGGTGGCGTGGGGCAGAGGGGGCAATGGGAGGGTCAGGTCCTGCCCGCGGGGCACCGGGGCGCTGGTCTCATCCCGATGTTCCTTGTGGGAGCTGGAGGCTCAGTGCTGGGATCGAGGGGCGATTGGGTCTGGAGCTGGGAATTAGATCCTGCAATGGCTTGGGATGAAGGGAGCTTACAGCCCCTCCAGCTCCTGCCCCTGCCCCGGGCAGGGACCTCTTCCATAGAGCAGCTTGCTCCAAGCCCCTGTGTCCAACCTGGCCTTGAGCACTGCCAGGGATGGGGCAGCCACAGCTTCTCTGGGCACCCTGTGCCAGCGCCTCAGCACCCTCCCAGGGAAGAGCTTCTGCCTAAGAGCTCAGCTCAGTCTCCCCTCGGGCAGGTTCAAGCCATTCCCCTTGGCCTGGCCCTACATCCCTTGTCCCAAGCCCCTCTCCAGCTTTCCTGCAGCCCCTTCAGGCACTGGAGCTGCTCTCAGGTCTCCCCTTCAGGAGCCTTCTCTTCTCCAGGCTGCCCCAGCCCAGCTCTCTCAGCCTGGCTCCAGGGCAGAGCTGCTCCAGCCCTCGCAGCAGCTCCACTCCTGCCCCTTCCAGGGCAGCTCCAGCAGGGAGCTGGCATCACTCTGAGCCCTGAGGTGCTCCCCGGGGACCCCATCTCCCCATGGCCGCTGTGGGAGCAGCTCGCAGCCGCTCTGCCTCCTCCTGCCCTCCCCTGGGCTCTCATTAAGCGCCGCAGAGGAAGCGCAGCAGCTTGGTGCACCCATGGGAGCAGCCCTGCAGTCCCTGCCGCGTGTCCCACGAGCACCCTGAGCCCGGCTGAGGTGGAGCCGGTTCCTGTGCACCCATCTCCTGTGGCCGCCCTGCCCGGGGCTGAGCTGTGCCCGCAGCTCCAGGCCATCCCTGGGGTCATTGCGGGCTGGAGGGGAACCAGAGCCCGGCCCCACAGCCCTCATGGAGAGTTCCCATAGGGATCTGGGCTCCTTGTGTCCGTACCAACCCCTGCAACTGCCTACAGGAGGATGGAGCCAGGAGGGGCTGGGCTCTGCTCCCAGGGAACAAGGGATGGGACAAGAGGAACCGGCCTCAAGCTGCACCAGGGCAGGTTTAGATGGAGCTGAGGAACAATTCCTGCCCCAGAGGGTGCTCAGGCATTGGAAGAGGCTGCCCAGGGCAGGGCTGCAGGCACCTCACACCCCATGGAGACGAGGCCTCAGTGCCATGGGGCAGTGGTGGCCGTGGGGCGATGGTTGCACTGGATGCTCCTGAAGCTCTTTCCCAGCTGGTTCCATGTTTGTCCCTCTGGGACCGGTTCCCTCTGCCTGCTTTGCTGCCCTCTGTGTCCATGGGGGTGTCCCCATTGCCCCAGGCCTCCTCAGCTCCTTGGCAGAGCTGCAGCTCCAGGAGGGACTGAAAGGTGATCCCAGGGCTGTTGTGGTCCAAAGGGCAGCCCCGTGATCCCTCATAACAGCGGCTCCTGTGGGAAGAGCTTTGGGAAGCCTGGGGGAGCCTTCAGCCGTGTCCGCGCTTCCCAAATCCTCCTTTTCCCCTCCGAACCGGGGTGGTTTGGCAGTGGTTCATTGCTGCCTGCGGGTGCTGTTCCCTGTCCTGGGCCACGCTG